CTCCCCTGGGCACCAAAGACCAAGACTTTCCCTTCAGTGGGACTCTCCCAGACATGAGGGAAAGCTGTGCGAGACAAGATGGGAAAGGCACCGTGGCCGAGTGTGAGCCTGGAACACAGGCAGAGGAACTCGGACTCTGCCCTGTTTCCTGGGGAAGGGAGGGAGGTGTCATTAGGGCTGTGCCCGCGACAGCTGGGAGAGATGGAGCAGGAGATGGCACAGCGGGGGTCCAGGTGTGGAGACGCAGCCTGAACGGGGGAGAGTAGGTGGGGATGGGAGGAGAGAATGGAGACCCGGCCATCGCAGGGGAGTGGCAGGTCCTGAGGCTGAGGGACAGACAAGTGGCAGTCCCCTCTCCGAGGGCCTCACACAGACCTCTCTACCCCTTCAGCCCTTTCCAGGTTGGTTTCCTAAACACCATGGATATGAACTCACTTTCCAAAACCACTCTGCCCAGTTCAAATTGCCTGCTGAGGTGGCAACATTCCACCAGGGCATCCTCCAGCAGGGTGACCGGCTACCACGCACAAAAGTAGCACGAAGGGCCGACATCAATAACGTGCTGGAGTCCAGAATCGGCCCCGAAGAGCGAGGGCTCAGGGGCGAGGACCGCAGCGAGGAACCCCCTCCAGAGGACCCAGCCAGGAGCAGGAGAGGGCCTGTCCTGTGAGCTGCAGGGGCTGGGGCAGGGCGGCAGCTATGGCCCAGCCGTCCCCTCAGGGCACACACACGGCTTCGCTTTGTAAAACGGGGCTTATATCTTGAGAAAATTACACAAGTCATCATCTAATACGCGGGCTGTGACAGTAAAAAATTCAGCCTCCTTTCTGGGACTCAGACTGCCAGACTCAGTCCCCTCCAGGTTTCATAGCAAGTCTCTTAGGTAAGAATGTGCCAGGTGGAGCCTTACTGGGAAATGATCCGGGTATCCAAAGGCCTCACACATTCTCAGCCATGTGTGGGAGAAACAGAAAAGCCACCGCCAGGACTCGGCAGAGGGGCCGGGCCCAGCACACCCATGCGGAGCGTTTCCAGATGCGTCATGTGATTCTCACTAAAGGTGGGTTGATTAGCCCATTTTATTTATTTATTTATTTATTTTAATAGAAAAGACTCTGATTTTTTTTCTTTTAATTTATTTATTTTTAATTTATTTATTTTATTTATTGGGTCTTCGTTGCTGCGTGCAGGCTTTCTCTAGTTGCAGCAAATGGGGGTTACTCTTCGTTGCAATGCGTGGGCTTCTCATTGCGGTGGCTTCTCTTGTTGCGGAGCACGGGCTCTAGGCACACGGGTTTCAGTAGTTGTGGCACGTGGACTCAGTAGTAGTGGCTTGCGGGCTCTAGAGCACAGGCTCAGTAGCTGTGGCGCACGGGCTTAGTCGCTCCACGGCATGTGGGGTCTTCCCGGACCAGGGCTCAAACCCGTGTCCCCTGCATTGGCAGGTGGATTCTTAACCACTGCGTCACCAGGGAAGCCCTCGGCCCATTTTAAAGATTAGGAAACTGAGGTCCACAGAGATCAGCAATGGGTGACGCAGAGGTAAAAATCAGATTGAGTTCCAGTTCTTTAAAGGCCTAGAAAATTATTCTCTGCTTTGGAATTGTGTTGTCCACTGCAAACAAAGCACATTGGCTTTCTCAGAGACCACCTTCTCCTGGGAAGTGTCTCCTTTCAGTTAAAATTGCAACATGAAAGCCTACACAAGCTCTCACATGGCCCAGGTAGAGGGGAGGTTGGTGTTCTGAGAAGCGCCCCTCAGAATCCCCAGCAGAGCAGACACCAGCCACGTGTCCTTCATTTGACTGGGCTCTTCCAAGAGGCTCCTCCTGTTGGCACCATGGAGGGCTTGGGACAGCCTGCCTGCTCCCTCCCCACCGGGACCAGCTCCAATGTCCCCTGTGTTTTCTCTGCTGATGAACCAACGGGAGGCCCTGCTCCACCCCCACCCCATTCGGGGCTAAACAGAAAGACAAGAGGGAATGAGCAAACGTCACCTCTGAGAGCAGGTGCCGACCTGAGGCCCTGGGGACTCTTGGGGGATGTCTACCCAGACCTGAAGAGGGAGGGGCAGTGCCTGGCACGTGGTAGACAAAAACGTGTTATTGATGAGAAAAATGCCAGACAGTGGGAAAGAAAGCCATTCTCAGGTTCCACGTGAGGTGAGTGCCAAGAAGTCTGAAGGAGTGATTCTGAGTGCAGCAAACAAGATTAATTCGTAAGATAATTCCTAAAACAGAACTGTGCCTTCCAGGACAACAAGGGCTTCATCGTAAACTCAGAGACGACCAGGACTTGGAGAGACCTGGATGACCACCTGACCGCCTTCCCCGTCCCCAACTTTTGTGGAGAGGCTGTTAGGAGCCTCTGATCACTCCACAGGTGGGTCCACACTTCCAGGTGAGGACGGGAAGGGCTGGCTAAGCCGCAGCTTTGGGTGGGAGAGTGCAGCCGAGATGGGGCTGCTTAATTGCTCCTGCAGAGGAAGGAAAGCATCGGTGCGAATGAACTAAGATTGTCCCAGAAGATAGCAGAGGTATGCTTCAAGCGCACACCCAGCCTATTATAACCTGCTGATACCAGGTGCAGAGGCTACAGTGATAGTTTAAAAAATAATAATTTCCCAGACTGATCACCGTATTCGCAAAACCTAGCCAGCTGTCCGGGGCACTGTTCCAATGGAGGAAGGAAAAGTCCTACAGGATGTAGGACAATTTTACCCCCTAAGAAACACGCAGGAAATGAAAGAGTCTGAACATTGGCTCTGGCCAAGGTGGGACGGGACTCCAGGGCCCGGCAAATGAGAGCATGGCCTCAGGGGCAGAAGACCTGGGGCTGACGTGGGCTGCCAGGCACTAAGCCTCCATTTCTTCACCTACAGGACTGGGGCAACAGTGCTGCCTTAAACATCGCTTGACTGTGAAGATTAAATTAGATGAGGCATATAAAAGTGTGCTTTGCAAATTGTAAAGTACCTACGAATAAATGTATAAGACCTTTAAAATAAGAAATGTATCTCTACCCACTCTTAAGGCACCAACTCTCTCAGAGATAACAATGAAAACTGAAACAAAATACAACACACCAGAAGCACGGCAAAAACACAGACTTTATGTCCTACCAGAATCCAAGGACCTGAATTTAGTTCGCAGTCTCAGCTTGCCATCTGTGTGACCTTGGGCAAGTCATTTTCCTCATTTATAAAACAAGGAAGAAGGAACTGGAAAACCTCCAGGGTCCCTTCTAAGCCAAAAGTTTTATGAATCTGTACTCTGTGCTACCTGCATAAGCTTCTGGGGAAAATGCATCAAGTAGAATTTCCTATGAAATCACCATGAGCTAAGTAAAATTGCTTTACACATTTGCTTTGCAATTTCTTTTCTCCTTCTATCCCATATCTATCTGCTGGAGTATTGTCTATCATACACCTAGAGTAGCAAAACGATATAATTAATAAGGTTAAATTAATAGATAGATGCTGACTTTTGTGCCTCACAAGGAGAGAATATACCTTTTTCTCAAACGTATATTGATGGAGCATTTGCAAAAACTTATACTTACTTGTCCAAAAAGATAACTCCTCTAAATTACAAAGAGCAGAAATTGTACAAGCCATTCTCCAAACCACAAAATCCAACAAAAGCTAGACTGGAACGCTGGAATCCTGAAAACCAAAAGTAGGTAGATAGATAGATAGATAGATAGACAGACAGCCCATCTGAAAACTAAAATAGTCTTCCTTTTGTGTTCAGAAAATGAATTATAAATACAACAGAAAATTAGAACATGACTTGTCAAAACTTATACCATCAAGGCTGTGTTTGGAGATAAATTCATAATATAAAGATGCCTTCATTATTAAAATAAAACAACACAGTTTCCACTTCTGGGATGACTGAGAGAGTAACTCCATGGAACCAGCAAAGCTGGCAAAAACTATTTAAAAAAAAAAAAGAACAACCATTTAAAGTCTCTGGGAACTGTCCTAAGGGCATATGACAAACAAAGAAACATCTACTCAACAAAATCTACTAAAACTCAGTAAGAACAGCAAGAGTTTGTGGCATTTCAGCCACGAGCTGCTCTCTCCCTCCACGTGGGTGTGGCCAAGAAGTCGGGGCTCCCTCACCCTTCAAATCCGAATAAAGGCTTACATATCTCACCAGGAGGGACAGGCCACCAGCATTTCTCATTCCCCCCAACTCCAAGTCGAGAAGGCTAAATTCCTGGTGAGTGTGACTGAGAGGTCAGGACAACCTTCCTCCCGGCCACTGTCACGGGACAGAGGCTGTACCTCAGGCCGGGCAGGCCCAGAGGACTGGGCCCCCAACCGCCGGACCACAGCTTGCTCATGGGGCACAGTTTCCAAGAAGAGGGAAGCTGAGGAGGCCAGGGGCACCCAGAACTAGAGCTCAGAGGGTTTGCACAGGGGAGATTCAATCCATGAGAAAAGAAAGCTCTCTGAAGTGCTCCCAAAGGAAATGACTTTATTTAAAACAGAATGTGAGGAAGTTCATTCCTAAGGGCACTCTTGAAAACAACAGCCTCTCTTAATTAAGAACAATAAGCCAAACCCAAGGTAGATAGTTCACCAGAGAGAACGGGGAAAGAGACAGCCCATGCTACTCTCTCACCTCGTCCCAGCTTCCCCTTCCCCACCCTCCCTTTCCTCAAGTCCATTCTCTACGTCTGCGTCTTTATTCCTGTCCTGCCCCTAGGTTCATCCGAACCTTTGTGTGTGTGTGTGTGTGTGTGTGTGTGTGTGTGTGTGTGTGTTAGCATACGGTATTTGTTTTTCTCTTCCTGACTTACTTCACTCTGGATGACAGACTCTAGGTCCATCCACCTCACTACAAATAACTCAATTTCGTTTCTTTTTGCGGCTGAGTAATATTCCATTGTATACATGTAAGGCTCTAAAATTGATTGTGGTGGTGGAATCACAATTCGGGGATATACTAAAAACCATTGAGCTGTGCACTTTATTTTTTTATTTTTAAAAACATTTTATTGGCCTATAGTCGACTTACAATGTTGCGTTCGTTTCAGATGTGCAGCAAAGTGAATCAATTATACATATACATATATTCGTTCTTTTTCAGATTCTTTTCCCATTTAGGCTAATACAGAGTACTGAGTAGAGCTCCCTGTGTTAGAGCTGTGCACTTTAAATGGATGAACTATATGATAGGTGAATTGCATCTCAACAAAATTGTTAATAAAAAAGGAATACAAAAAGTGAAGGACCTCCATATTCATCGCAGTATTATTTCAAAGAATCCAGTCTTAAGAAAGAAAATAATGCAATAAAAACAAAACTAAATGACTTGGACAATTGAAAAGATGATGGAATTAATTTTAAAAATTAATTTTTGGACATCTTGCCACTCCTGTTTCTCTTTAAAACAGTCCGGATTTCTACGAAATGGTTTCAAGTGCTCCCTGAAAAACCCTCATTTCTAAAGACCTTCTCTTATTTGACTCTAACTTTGAATGGAAAAGAATTTCCACTGGATGCTCCCAGGAGAGCAACTGTTCCCTCAGAGACCTGCTGTATCTTCTTCCTCTGAGTAATTCCCTATCAAGTGCCCCACAGGTGGGGCTGCCCATCCTGGGTTTTGCAGTTCCACCATCAATATGGGCCACACCCAGATGTGATACAAGTGCAGCTTCCCAGACAGCCTGGGAGAAGCCAGTACTCAGCTCCAAAGGCTTCTGGTCAGATCCCAGCCCTGGGAAAGAACCTCATTTTCCCAAAGATCCTTTGGACTACGTCACCACCCATCACAGTGTGATCAGAGGGATGTGAAACTACCTGCCCGAAGAAGAATTTGTCTCATTCAGGAACCTCAGGTCCATTAGATTCTGTCACTTACTAGGCAGGTCATTTGGCCTCTCTGACCCTCAGTCTCCTCATCTGTGCAATGGGTGTACTATTGTAAGGATTAGGTAAAATAGTGTATGTGAGGGTGCTTGGGACCTACTTCCTTTCTTCCTCAGCTGTGGGCCAGGGGCTAACACCACTCTCCTGTCCTTTCCTTCGGCTGCCTTTGCTCCTGTTGGGGAGGAAGAAATTTTTCTCTACCCTTCTAGGTTCTTCTGGCAGGTCTAAGAAATAAATTGACATGAGAAAGATTAATAGGAGAAAATCAAACAAAAGTTTAATAACGTATATACATGGGAGAGACCCAGGAAAACTGAATAAGGCACCAAAATGGCAAAGTCCTGACTTTAAATGTCACCTTCAGCTAAAGAGGGCAGAGGGTGTTAGGAGTGGTGGCTTGGGACTTCGAAGGGGAGAAAGGCAATTCACCTGCAGATGGAAAAGCTCATGTTTAGTAAATAAATGTTTGCTGGGGCCCTGCAGAGACAATGGGACACAGAGTAGACTCTGATCTCTAAAAGTTCCCCTACCACACCTAGCTTGTATTCTCGGCAGACGTCTGGTGATAGCTCTATTCCTGTAATAGGCCCTCTATCTAAATTTTTCAGGCGATTAGGGGGGTAGTTCAAAGTTTCTTCCTGAGTCTTTTGGGCCTTGATAATTTTCAGCGTGAAATAATCTACATGCCAGACACATTTTGGGGTGACAAATTTTGTTTCCTACACTCCAGACTCGATCCCATGCTTAGAGGTGGCCTGGGTTCCAAGGAGCCCCAGGGTCTCCAATTAAAGGCTGCTTAGTCTGACAAACTTAAGTTCAACCAAAGGTGAGTGACCCAGGAAGTAACAACCACATCTAATGAAATGGATAGGGACCATCGGGCCCCTGCCTCTTTTGTCTGCTGTCTGGGTTATGCAACCGAACTTAGTAGCCACAGCAGGGCTGGTGAGAGGTGATGGATGCCAGGCGCTGGATACCCTTGACTAAATCCGATACCCACTGATGTTTATAAACCCAGCTTCTGGAGATCTTCTCTGAAAGCCAAAACTCTTGGTCGGGTTGGAGGAAAATAATCCAATGTCCAACCCAAGACACAGCAACAGTGCCATCATCACTCCGCACATGAACCTGCTTCACCCAGCAGGGCACTGGCACAGCGGACCGTTTAGCTGCCACTGCCAGTTCTCTCTGGATGAGCAGCAGAGCTCAGAGATCTTCCGAGAGCCCACCCAGAAATGTTGCCCTGGCAAAGCCCCCACTGCCTGGGGAGAATGTGGGGAGCGGGGAGGACTTGGGAGTCAAGGTGAAATCTTAGAGCAGGGGGACACTCAGGCCACATCTCCTGCTGCTGACGGCAGGTGGACATGGTGCCCTCAGACCAGGCCACCGGACAAGGTCTAAGACAGCCGCTCTCCCGGGGAGGTCCGGGTCCCATTAGAGGTGCAGCAGTCCTGCAGTTAGCCTGATTTTTCTCTCTACACAGCTGTGAAAGGACAGTTTTTCAGGCCCACAGCAAAGCCTGGCACCTCTGCAGAGCCAGGGGCAGAGAAGGGGACTCTGGTGCAAGAGTGTTGCTGGGGAGGCTGAGGTCTCAGCAGGATGGGAGATCTTCAGCCTTCTGATGCCTCTGATGCTCTGCTCAGCAGCCTGGTCACTGGGGGCTCTTCCCTCCTCTGACTCTGTCATGAATTGAATCATGTCCCCCCAAAAGATATGGTGGAGTCCCAACCCTTGGTACCTGTGGAGGTGACCTTATTTGGAAATAGGGTCTTTGCAGATGGTCCTAGTGAAGTTAAGATGAGCACCGGGGTAGGCCCTTCATCCAATATGATTGGCGTCCTTATAAGAGGATCAGATTGAACACAGAGACACACAGGGAGAATGCCACGTGACGATGGAGATTGAAGCTGCAGGGAGAAGGCAAGGAAGGAGGATCCTACCCAGAGTCTCGAGGCAGTACAGCCCTGCTGAATCCTAGCCTCTAGGACTCAACACAACTCTGTCACTGGGCTCCAGCATGAACCGCCAAGTCAAGAGACTTCTAGTTATTTCTACTTTTTCAACAGCAGGGAGAAAACAACTTGGATCTGAAAAGCAGAGGGAGAATTAAGAAACTAAGAGACCGGATTTCTGTTGTCTTAAGCCACCCAGCCCACAGGGCTTTGCTGCAGCTAACACGGGCCCCAAATTCTGAAGCCTAATCCCACCCACCACTTCTATCCACCTCCCATGGGGACACAGAGACGGTGGGGGGGTCTGAGAATCCGCGCTGGAGAAGGAAGTCAGCTGGGGGTGAGGGAGGTGGTCCAGGGGTGCGCAGGACAGGAGAGGAGAGGGTGGGCACGATGGAGAAAGACAAGGGGGTGCTCTCTCCTGGCAGAGCGGGGCCCCAGAGAGTGGAATCAGATAAACAGAGGAAGCCTCAGATCCTTTCCAGCTGTGGACTCCGAAATGGCTCTAGGATAGAATCGTCTCCCCTCTGCTTTTTTGAAACCCTGGAGTTCCTGCCAACAGAACAAAAAGAAAGCCCCAAACACACCTATTTCCTATCTCAACATATATTTGATAACCCCAGTGTCCTGCCTTTCCCCAGACTATAAATGACTGCCTCCCCCCAACCCCCAGCCAAGCTCACTCTGGGTTCAACACGACTCTCTCACTGCATCCAGCCTGAACCTCCAAGCCAGGAGAATTCCAGTTACTTCTACTTTTCCAGCAATGGGAGGGGAAAAAACAACTTGGATCTGAAGAGCAGAGGGAGAATTAAGAAAGTGCCTCAGCTCCAGGCATTTTTTTTCAACCGCTAACTGGGCAATGAATAATTTATAGCCAAGAATGTTTGTAGGGGGATAAAACTGTTGACAAGTCAAGAAAAACCTCTTAGCAGCCTAACGGAGCAATCCATCTTCAAGAAGCACGTTTCAAATGCATAGCGTGTGAAGATGCTGGTTGAGGTTGTTTCCTTTCTCCTCTTTTTTTTTTCCTTTTTTTATCTATATGGAAATCGGTGGGTGCTGAAATATATTTCACTTCAGCATGAACTGGGGCTGAATGATATCTCAGGCAAGAATTAAATCATCGCTTCATACTGCAAGAAATAAACACCAAGCCAGGCAGAGACCCTCGGCGCCCACAGGGGAGGAGAGCAGGGACTTCTGGGGAGCTGAACAGAGGCATTGGTATTCCATGCAGGACAGCATGCAAAGCCCAGGCTCAGACTCACCGGAGCAAGGGGGTGATGGATCCGGGAGTATGTTCCTCGGGGAGGGCCCCAAGCAAAGTGGTGGTGATTACACAGCTGAGACCTCTTCGTCTTTGAAGAGCCGGCATCCTCCCCAAGTCCTCCTAGATCTGGGCATCAGGAGGGCACTGTGAGGACTTCGTGACATCGGTGGTTGGACCGAAGACAGTACGCCAAGAATCCTGACAGCTACAGGGTCAGTCTTGTATCAAGCACCTACCATGTTCCAGGGCCAAGCTCCCTTCTGGAGATCCTGTTGCTCAGTCCTCATGTTGGCTCTCTGGTTGGTGCTAACTGGGCAGTTGGATCACTGCATGGCCCCCCCTCTGCTCCAGCAGGGCAACTTGGGAGCCAGAGCTCCCGGAGGACTTGTAACATTGCTAAACATCACACAGGTACAGGAGGATAGAACCTGGCCTTGAACCTATGTCTCACCCACAAACTTATTCATCTCCTATGGTCTTATGGAGGCTGACTTGGTTTTCCAGAAATCGGCAGGTATTAGGATGCCCCCCCCATATTCTCAGCCCCTCAGTGCTCCCCCTACCTGCTTTGGGCCCCTGACTGACCAAGGTTCGAGTGGTTCAGTAGGCTGAGACCCAAGTCTAGACCACAGCCAAGCAGCTCCCCTAGGGACAGGACAGGTGAGGTTGGCACCATTCCTCGTAAATGTATTAATAATCTATTGCTGTGTAACAAATGACCCCACGCTCAGCAGCTCTAAAACAACAAGCATTTTCTACCTCATGGTTTCTGTGCACTTGGATCCCAGGGGCAGCTTGTCTGAGTCCTCTTGTTCAGGGCCTCTCACAGGGCTGGATCCGAGGCGTCTGCTGGGGCTGCAGTCATTTCAAGGTTCAACTGTCAGCTCACCGACACGGCTGCTGCCAAGGTTCCATTTATCACAAGGTGTTGGATTCATGGCCTCAGTTCCTCACTGGCTGTTGGCTGGAGACATCTCTCAGTTCTTGGCTATGTGGACCCCTCCATAGGACAGCTCACAACATGGCAGCTGGCTTCCCTCAGAACCAGCAAAAGAGCAAGTGTCACCCATAATGGAAGCCAGAGACTTTTGTAACGTAATCTCCAAGTGACACCCCATCAGATGTGCCTTATTCTTTCATTAGAAGCAAGTCACCATGTCCAGTCCACACTAAAGCAGAGGGCATTACATGATGGCATGAATGACCGGGAGGCTGGGATCGTTGGCAGCCGTCTTGGAAGCTGCCTACCACAATAACCAGCTGTATTTGTTATCTAGTGCCGCATAACAAATCAGCCCAAAGCTTCATGGGTTAAAACAGCAGTAATTATTTATCACCTCTCACAGGCTCTGTGGTCAGGAATTCAGGAGCAGCTTGGCTGGACAGTCCTGTCTAGAGGTCTCTCATAGGACTGCAGGCAGATGTCAGCCAGGGCTACAGTCTTCTAAAGGCATGGCTGGGGCTGGAAGGTCCACTTCCAAGCGGCCCACTCACATGGCTGGCAAGTTGATGCTGCCTGCTGGTGGGAGTCCTCAGTTCCTTAGCACATGGGCCTCCCCACAGGGCTGCCTGAACGTCCTCACAGCATGGTGGCTGCCTTCCCAGGGCCTGCAATCCAAGAGATCAAGGCAGAAGCTACAGTGCTTTTATGACCCAGCCTCAGTGTTCAGTCACACACAATCACTTCAGCAGTGTTCTAGTGGTCACACAGGTCAGCCCTGTTCAATGACAAAATGGCCACGCAAAGGCTTGAATACCTGGAGACGAGGATCACTGGAGGCCATCTCATAAGTCAACTACCACATCAACAGGGCAAGCGCACCACAGGGTGGAATCATAGTGCTGCAGCCAGGCTGAAAAGGGTACTGAACCCAAAGCCCAGGCATATCATACTCTCTGTAGTTTTCCTGAATGTGACTGGCTCTCTTGGGCCCACGTCTTTGTGATCTTCCCTCTACTTGTCATTCTTTCTCCCACAGCGAGCTCCTACTTAACCTACAAAGCCTAATTCAAATGTTACCTCCTCCATGAAGTCTTCTCTATTCCTCACATTACTCCCCTGACCTACCCCACCCACAGCATGGCTGTCTCCCCCTCTGTGGGTCCCTATGCAGCTTTTTAAATGCCTTTATTGTCAGCCCATATCTCAGCATCTGTCTGCTTACCCCATGTGCCTGGGATTCCAGGAACCACATACCTTCACCTGTGGATCCTGAGCAACTGGCCAGCCCACCCACAGTGGGCACTCAGTCACTGTAAGATGGAGCCAATTAAATGACTTGCCACAGCTGCAGCTGGTCAGCTCCAGAGCTACGCTGAGGCCAGAGGCAGGTCTCCTGCCTCCTCGGCCCTTTCCCACAGATAGTGGTGGGGCGCTTTAAACACATGTCCTGGGGTGAGCACCACCCTGGAGCCCGCCCTCCCCCAGGGCCCCTGGTGGGGACCACCCTGGGCTGCCATCCCAGCTCCAGGAAGTGGACACTCCACCCTATTGGCTCTTCATCCAGAGCCAGTACACGCCACCTGATCCCCACCTGCCTCACTCCCTCCTGCGGGGTCCATGGTAAACCTTGCCCCCAATGCTCCACCAAAGCTTAGCACAGGCTCTGACCCAGTGGAAGGTCCTCACGGGGTGGGGGCAGAGGGCAGGCAAGGAGTCCAAGACTGGGCTGAACGTGATCGATGAGCAAGTTTCAAACCAGAGGCCTTCCTGCTGCCCTGTGGGAAGAACTGCCTTCCTGCTTCCGGGAGGATTCGACCTATTAAATGCACAGATGCTCAGAGAGGTGCACTGCACCTAGAGACGCGTTGGTCACCTGAGCAGCTTTGTAACCAGGCCAGGGCAGTAGGCTTCCTCCCCTTCTTCACCTGATGGAGAGGAAGACTTTCAGCTCAACAACACAGCACGGTTAGCCTGGAGGACCCATCCATGTGGGCTTGTCTGGAGGGTGCTCCCCCCAAAGAACAAGGGTGTCCCGGCCTGGGACACAGAGTAGCCCAAGGGGGAGGCAAGACAGAGCCAGAAGGGTGCGGAGAAAAGGGAACACTCTTGCACTGCTGGTGGGAATGTGAATTGGTACAACCACTATGGAGAACAGTATGGAGGTTCCTTAAAAAACTACAAATAGAACTACCATACGACCCAGCAATCCCACTACTGGGCATACACCCTGAGAAAACCATAATTCAAGAAGAGTCATGTACCAAAATGTTCATTGCAGCTCTATTTACAATAGCCAGGACATGGAGGCAACCTAAATGTCCATCAACGATGAATGGATAAAGAAGATGTGGCACATATATACAATGGAATATTACTCAGCCATAAAAAGAAACGAAATTGAGTTATTTGTAGTGAGGTGGATGGACCTAGAGTCTGTCATACAGAGTGAAGTAAGTCAGAAAGAGAAAGACAAATACCGTATGCTAACACATATATATGGAATCTAAGAAAAAAAAATGTCATGAAGAACCCAGGAGTAAGATGGGAATAAAGACACAGACCTACTAGAGAATGGACTTGAGGATATGGGGAGGGGGAAGGGTAAGCTGTGACAAAGCGAGAGAGTGGCATGGACATATACACACTACCAAACGTAAAATAGATAGCTAGTGGGAAGCAGCCGCATAGCCCAGGGAGATCAGCCCGGTGCTTTGTGACCACCTAGAGGGGTGGGATAGGGAGGGTGGGAGGGAGGGAGACGGGGTAGGGATATGGGAATATATGTGTGTGTGTGACTGATTCACTTTGTTATGAAGCAGAAACTAACACACCATTGTAAAGCAATTATACTCCAATAAAGATGTAAAAAAAAAAAGAGCCAGAACAGGGTCGGGGAGGAGCTGGGGGGCAGAAAGGAAAAGAGGGCTGGGGCTGGACCAAAAGGACCCCCAAAGGCAGCCCCCTCTAGAGTCAGCAAGCAACCCTTGGGCTCAAGTGTTTTTCCATCACTGGCCCCTTCATGGAGTCTTTCTGCCTGTGCTCCAGCTCTCCAGAAGACACCTGGCAGGGTGATGTGATTTGGGGCCCCCAGAGGTTTGGGATTCTGTAGATCTGGGGGAATGGCATTTTGTTTTAATATCTCACTACTCACTGATATAAACCAGGTTTAAAAGCCCCTACTCTGAAGGCAAAGCCACTAACCCCAATTTTCTGATACAATCCCCATTTCATAGAACTTAGCAATGAAGGTAATTTATACAAAAATGGAAATCATTCTGTTTTTCTACCTATTAAGTCCTTGATGCAAATTAATTTACATATTTAAAAATCTGTTGACGAATCTGGCGATCCAGTTTGAGGTCTTGCAATGTTCCGCCACTTTACGCCAAGGGTTTCTTGGTTGTTAAAAAAGAAGATGGGGAAGGTCAGCTTCAGAAGGATTTCCAGAATGAACTCTTATAATGGCTTCTTCCAAATGGATTTACACTGATCCCACTCATTCATTTCCTCTCATTTCACTTCATGTATAATGGCTTCAGAGTCTACAGAACAAGCTAGAGAATTAGGCCTGAATATTTGATCTCCCTGGACTGAAGGGCCACGTCTGGAGTCCGTGCTGGTCTTGGTCATGTTTCCAGATCTATTACAGTCCCCTCTTCTAGACCAGCCTCTGTGTGACAGCAATGGTGGGTCTAGGCTTCCTTGCAGTTATGCATCTCTCGTTTGGACCAGTGCCTGGCACACAGGAGGTACCCAAGAGTATGTCCCCTCGTGACCTCTGTCAGGGCTCCCTGGATGCCAGCTGCCCATCTACCGTGTGACAGGGCAATGCCTCACCCCTGACAACACGTGAAGCCCTCAGAGAAAGACGCCAGTCACAGTCCTCCCCAGACGGTGAGCCCTGGGAGCTGGCTTGTGTCCCCTCTGTGCAGCACCCCCTGCCCCTGAGGCCCACCTCAGGGGGCTTCAGAGGTGGCTCAGAGCACAAACACCCCACACCATCATTCCCTCCAAATCCCCAGGTGACAGATACCGCCCAGATGGCAAACGTTGTGCAGCCAAAGACGTCATGACCAACTACGTATCGTTTCTCAAGGTGACCCCTGGGAGGAGCGCTCCATCCCTGCCAAGGGCCTCTGGACCACAGGCCTCCCCCATGGGTCGGGGGCCATCAGATTCTGCAGGGGGCTCATCTTCACGGTCATGGCCTAGGGCTGTCCTTGAAAGGTCCAGAAAGGAAAGGGCAACCTTGGCAAAAGGGAAAAGCAGGGCAGATCCTCGCTGAAGGCATGTCCTTGACCCTCATCTGACCTTCATCCAAGCAGCCGACCTCACCGCACAGTCTAAGAGAAACCAGAACCTCAGTCGGTCCTGCTGGCCTTGCAGACATTGACCGTGGACCACCCAGCCACACACCTCTGTCCCATCCCAGGAGGGGTCCAGCCTGTCTGCCTGCCTGTGTCTGTGCCAGAAGTCTCCAAGCCCCTCCAACTGGACCCTTTGCTTCTTAAGATACACTCCGTGTAAGAAGCTTCTACTTTACTGAAGAACATTTGCCATGGTCAGGGGTGCCAGTCACAGAGAGCGCGTGGCACAGACCCAAGGATGGGCGCCGCCGTCTTACCTCCAGCAGCCGCCAGGGGCCGCACATCCCCCCAACCCCCCAGCGCCTCCCCCGTTTAATGTTCTCCCGGGAGTTCATCAAACGAAAACCCTGGTTCTGAGGTGGAAAAGCCTCTTAGGAGGCTAATAGCGAGTGGATAGAGCAATAAATGTAATGATTTAATTCCTCAAGGATGGCTAAACAGGCTGCTGTTTACCAAAGTCTTAGTGGGTAATTACTAACGGATAATTACGAAAAGCTGCCGGATTACAGCTGCCCCAGAAAGGACCACAGCCCCAATCCGGTCAAGTCGCTTTCTGGGAAGGACCCAGGCAAGAATCTCCACTGCCCTCTCTTCTCGCTCCTTCCCTGGCTCTGCCATCACTGGGAAGCTCCCCTGGGTGATTATCTCCCCAGAGATACACACGATGCCTTTAACCCGGCTCCTCAAGCAGCCTGTTTCCCTTTCCCTCTCTGGTTAGAAGACAGAGGACAGTGGTACATTTGCTCTAGGAGCACAGCTCTGGGACAAGCTTTGATGGAGGGGCTCAGGGGGTCCCCTGCGGCTCAAGCCCTCCCTGGCTGTCTGGGAAGGTGGAGGGCACGCTGAGGTTGGCCCTTAGGGACCACTGGCCACCTGACCCAGAAGTTGGTCCCAGAGCCCAAGAAAAGAAAGGAAGAAAGTGTGTAACCCATATACAGAGTGGGCCTCCTGGGGCCTCCCCTGCTCTCACCCCCAGAGGTCACTACGTCTCCCATCCTGTGCTCCTTCCCCAACTCCAAACACACCTCCACCATCCCTCCAAACCCCCTCAGCCACAGGCGCTCCCAGCCCCAGCAGGACAACAGCCCACAAATTATGTCATGACCAGCTATGGTTCCTCGAGCTCGTCCCTGGGAGGAGCTCCCCAGCCTTACCAAGGGTGTTCGGACCAGAGGCCTCACCTGCCTGTCCCTCGGGTCACAGGGCCCATCAGATTCTGCAACGCACTCATGTTCACGGTCATTCTTGGGGCTGTCCAGGGAAAGAAGATGTTCTCTATTGTCATGATCATTGGTCATGGTCACCTTCAAGGTCATGGTTTGGGGTTTTTCCTGGCCTGGGACTAGGTCCTACCTGCAAGTAAAGATATTCTCTGTGGTCATGGCCATTGGTCATGGTCATCTTCAAGGTCATGGCTAGAGGCTGTTCTTGTCCTGGGTGAAGATGTTCTTTATGGTTATCCAGTCCAGGCCAACAGCTCCATTCTTGCATGTCCTGTAATACCCATTCAAGTGGTCCTTCAGCTGCAGGAGCAGGGAGCTCCCTATGCCCAAGTCCACCCATCCTGTGGCAGGCAGTTTCAGGAGGAGGTTTCCCCTACACCAGGCCAAAAGTGGACCCTTGACCTTTGGAGCTAATCCAACAGCCTCAGGGAGCTCAGAACAGTCTTTGCTTTTTCTCTAACAAGACTTCAAACATCAGAGATGCTTCTTCTGTCCCACACAAAGTCTCCTTCATTCCAGGCAGAATGTATGACGCTTTGGCCATTTCTCCAATGCCAGGGGTCCAGGTGCCCTTGCCACCAGGGTCACACTCCATGAACAGACACCATCTTGCTCTGTCCTTCTGTGGCGTGGTGCCCAAGATGAGCTGATGGGATCCAACGTGGCCCAGCCACGCACAGAGCTGCGGGAGCACCCCTCCCCCCACCCAGGCCCTGCCCAGCTGGCTCCTCCCCCCACGGGCTTCTGTCCTGCTTATGACAATGAGGGCGCTGGCTCTCCCAGGGAGCGTTTCAGATGCCGGGGACTGAAGCCTACTCAAATCAGCTCACAAAAAGTGGACTTTAGCTAGAAGTCTGAAAATATGTCAAGGAACTGAGGGCAGAAAGTGCAGGTATGGAAAATGGTGACCCGATGCTGGCTGGGACAACTCAATGGCCTTCTCCAGCCCCGCCCCAGCCCGGCCCGGGGCCGCACGGTTTCTCCCCGCTCCTCTCCGATCATCGGACTCTTCATTCTTCCCTCTCCTCCAGAGCCCTTTTCTCTGCACCTGCTCAAACCCTCAAACATGGCCGCCCGAGCTCCAGGGCTACCATCCAACTGATGAATGTCTCCGGTCCCAGTCCAGAATTCTGGGGGGCAACGAAGATGATGAGCTCATCTTGCCGAAAGACTGGATCTCCTTGGATCAAGTCTCCTTTCTGGTCCAATCAGCTGTGGCCCAGGAGGGGTGAGTGCCAGTGTTCAAACATGGGGCTTGCCCGGGGGGTGCCCTGGGGGAGGGTGTGGGTGAGCAGAGCTGCCCCTCCCCCCAGGAATGAGCTATCTATGCTGCTGTACCAGTCCTTCCACGTCTCCAGCCCCCACCCTGTACTCACAACAGGACCTGATACAGGGCTCGTCCCCTTTTTCCTGAATCTTTTCCTTTTCTAAGATTGTCCGTCTCGTCAGCCAGTGGGGTCATTTTCTAATCCTAATTCTGGCTTCTAATATAGATGCTGTCCATCCTCATGCCGTTCAAAATCTGACGCCTATGTCTCGTGGGTCCCCATCTGAGCTGCTAACCACCGGCCTAACCCAAGCTGGATGGGTATTGCTGGAGCAACCTTGGGTTCTGGCCTAGGGCTCTGGTGGCTGGAATCCAACCAACTGGATTGTGGGCAAAGTTCCTGTCTCTGCTGTCCCCACCCTGGCCTCGTCCCTCCTGCCACAAGCCTGCCCTCTGATAATCACACTGCCCCATACCCCTGACTGAGTCCCAGCCCCAGCCCGTCAGGGGTCCCCGGGGGGCAGCTCCGATCCCAGCCCGTAGCTGGAGGCCCCAGCCCCACCCATCCCGAAGACCTGGAGGCCTCAGAGCCTCTCTGTGGGATCCTACTGGATGGCAGAATGAGCACACATTTCCACTTGAAGTGTTTTGACACAGAGCACTGCGAGCCGGCAGCCTGGGCTCCTCCATTCAGAAGGCGGCCCTGCGTGACAGGCTGAAAATGAGGAGAACTTCAGCGCTAGGGACCCCTCATCCAGGTGCTGAGCAGTCACAGGGACATGCGGAGAATTCACCAGACTCTGAGGACACGCTTCTCTGCAACTCACCTTCCCAAAGGCGGGGAACACCTCACAGATGCACATCCCAGATACACCAAACAGGCAGAAAGACCCTCCCGCTAACCTGGGCAGCCCCCAGATTTTAAGAGCCATCTCAGCAGGCTTGGTGGGGCTCGTTTTCAGGATTTCCATTCACATTTTCATGACCACGTGAAAAAAAAATTGCATTACTAATTCAGTTTCTACGGAAAAAAAATTCCAACTTGCTTTTCTAACTTAAGGTTTTTCAGGAAGCCAGATAAGACTTCCTGAATCTGGAGGCAGTGGGTAAGTCATTACTCAGACCATGCTTAGGAAGGTTCTGGTGGTACAGCCGGCTTCCTGCTCCGGAAGAGGGATAGTGGGGATCCAGGCCCCTCTGACCACATTTTCCAAAACTGGCCCTTTTACAGCTCTTTCTTCCAAGCTAGTACGCTGTGATGATGGCCAGCAGGGGAAGCTGGAGGGAAGCAAGAGCGCGGGACGGGGAGGGTCGGGCTCACTCCATTCTCCTTTCCCCCAGCCCAAAACTATCTACCTCGCCACGCCCTGGAGACAGGTGGCACATGGCAGGCACCCCTGGGTCCACTTCTGACCCTGCTGCGCCTTGGGGACAGGTGCTACTCCCACTGCCCTGGCCCCGACAATGCCCGCCCCAAGCCTGCATCATGCACGGCGGAGCACACAGCCAGGAAGGTGGGGTTACCCCCAGGGGCGAACCTCAGGCAGCGGGCGAGGAGCCAGCAGGTGGCTTGGCCCTGCATCATCTTTCCTGTGGACAGTCCGCCCCCAGCCTGCAGGTTGCAGGTCCCCGTGGAATCGGGCATCATGGCCCCAGCCGTGCCCTCCACTACCCAGGGTTAGCTTTTCCCCTTTTCTGTTCTACTCCCCGCACCCCCCTGCCCCATCCTGCTTCCGGGAATCAGCTCCCAGCAAGCTTATTGGCACCCAAATCCTCACCTCGGTCTCTCATGCCGGGAACCCAAACTAAGACACCGTCCCTCTCCCCGCCCCCAGGGGTCCACACGAGGTCTGGTGTGGAATCGACCCCTCACCCCCCATAAGTATCCGCAGGATGAACTAAGGAAGCACCTGTTTTGTGCTTGGCGACATGAAGTTCCCTCCGGGACAGTCACACCAGGAAACTGTTACATAAACTGGGTTTCCTGATGCCCTGGCCCCGCCCTGCCCATGCTCAGCTGCATCCCAGCCAAGCACAGTCGCCGTCAGCGGCCACCGTGGTGCTGTGCGCGGGCCCAGCGGGGACGCTCAAGGCCAAAGCCGGCCCTTGTCTCTGGGCCCACAGAGGTCTCGTTACCGAGGCCGCCGCCCAGACAGGCACATTCCTGCCTCGCTGGCCCACAAATGGCTCCATGCGGAATGTCGGGGCCATAATTGCTTTCTGCCCAGTGTCTGTCTCGGGTTCAGACACAACTCTCTCGGGGGGTGGCGAAGGACACGTTCACACAGGTCCACATCAGAGGCCTGGACACAGACGGGGGCAACACCCAACCCCCAGTCACCCTCCCAAATGCCTTCCAGAAGAGTCCATTGAAATGAAAGAGCAGGCCCCTCTGGGGACCAGGCAAATTGGAACACAGGAAGCAGAAAGACTGCACAGGAGAAGGGATCCTGCCCAGGGGTCCTAAGCCCAGAGTCTGCCTGCTGGCTCTGCCGGACAATTCCCCTCCCTCTCCAGGCCTCAGTCTGTCTGAGGAAGAAATGAGGGGCTTGACCTCACCTCCACCCAGAGGCTAGCCCAGCTCTGACCATTGTTCCCTGAACCATGACCCCAGAGCACCAGGTCTGGGACATGGAGGTGGATGCTCCCTGGAAAACGTGTTCATTGGTCCAGTATCCTTGGGGGGCCCTGCACACAGGAGCCCCCTCTTAGAGACTGTCGTGGCACCACTAAAGGTCCTGAGAAGGCCTGCAGCCCAGAGTCCATTAACATGTGGAACCCAGAGTTTTCCTAATTCATGTGACCACAAAAAGGCTTTTCTCCAAAGACTCCTGCTACTTCTAACATGCATATTGAGAGCTGAGGACCCAGGCGTTTGACACTGTTACCAAGGTTCTTCTGAGGATTCTGTCTCCTTGGGATGTAGGGTCAGATGAATCCGCTCTGATAACAAAGGCCCTGGCGTAGAAAGACAGATGTCTCCAGATGTGTGTCCAGAACAATAGTCTAAGGAACAAAGAAAGGAAACACCTGAAACCTTGAAGGACTTCTTGTTCCCATTTGTGATTGAGGGTGCCCAGAGGCGGGGGCAACGGGCATCTCCACCTGGCTGGCCCTCAGCCAGCAGTTCCCTTCTCCCGCCAGCCTCAGTGTGTCCAAAGGTGGAATCGGGGGCTTGGGAAGACTGCCCCAGGGGCCAGCCGAGCTCTGACAATTGCTTCCCCAACCATGACCTCTGGGGGAGAGAGACAGACGTGCTGAACCCACACATCCAGCGCGAATCTTAGCTTTCTGGCCCCAAACCTGCCACTCCTTGGGGGCCCCATCTCGCCGCCATCTCCCCAGTTGCCCCAGACAGAAATAAAATGTCACCCTCCTCCCCAACCCGCCCACCACATTGCCACGCCCAGTCTCCAACGCCTAGTAATGCCACCTGGTAAACAGCCCTCAAACCCTTCCTCTCATCTCCATCCCCTCCGTCATTCAACAGCAAATATTTACAGAGCACACCCCATGTGTGAGGCCACCACCTTAATTCTGCCCGATGTCCCCTGTACAGAGTGTCACAAGAGCCTCCACAGGTCCTCCTTCCGTGCTGCCCCCAGAGCCTCTTTCCAAATGCAGACCTCAGCGGTCCCATGGCCCTCTGGGTCCCATCCAAACTCCTCAGCCTCACGTGGTCTGACCACAGCTGCCTGCCTTTCCTGCTTCTCCGACATTCACCCTTTCCTTGACGCTAAGATGCTGAAGACCTCATCCATTGCAAGGCGCTCCGGAGAGGACCAGCTAAGGTAATGCTCACAAAACACAGAACCAGTATCACAGGGTGAAGGGAAGCATGCAGGATATCACGCTTCTGTTTGCAGAAAGAGAGTCTGGCATTCAATCCCCCCACCAGCAAGGTAACACCTCCCCGAGCTCATCCTTTCCAACGCAGACCCCACCTACCTGCTGGGAGAAATTAAGCCATTGAAGCTGTTCACTGAAGGAAGGTGGAAAGTTTGCACCCTGAATTCCACCACTGCCCTCTCTGTCCAGGCCTCTCCTCAAGCAAAGCCCAGGATGCCCTCCCTGGTGAGACACAGAGCCACCCCCAGGGCTGGGGTCTTCTCCACAAAGGACAATACTCCCCCACACCCACCCCACGGGGATGGGCTCTGGGACAGGCTGTCGCTATGGGATGTCACAGTGTCAGCCTGGAGAGGTTCCCGGGCACTGAGGGTTGTAAACACTCCCCTAAGCATAGATCTCAGCAGGAACACCTGTTCCTAGGGGCGCACTCCACAGGCAGCCTCACCCAGGGCAGCCCCCCACACCACGAGAGGCTGCTCTGATGCATCATGGATGGGGCTGCGGTAAGGCCGGGCAGGGCCTGAGCCCCTCTGACCTCCAGGGCCTTTCCAAGGCCAACCCTCGGTCACCCCTGAAAAGTGCAGCGGAGTCTGTTATTTCTAGGAAACGATGGTGCACGCTTGTACTCCTGGGACCCAGCCTGCTCTGAGCTGCGAGGGGAATGCCACAAACCCTGGATGGGCTCGGACTACATCTCCATGGTCGTGCAGACCTCCCATTTCTGACACCCCCAGTCTGCATCCTCTTCCTTGCTGGGTGGCTCCCTTGTGGTCCACGAGATCCTCCTATATGTTTCTGGAACCACAGACTGTACCCACAGGTGACGGTGAACAAGTACAGCTCCAGCGCTTCCTGCCTTGTCCTTGAGCGGCTGGCTGCCTAACCTGCCCCTGCCAGGTCACTCCTTGGGGACGTGGGTCTCACAGGGACAGGCCCGGGGGTCCTAGGTGGGTGTGAGAAGGGGCTGACACGGTGACTGAGCACTGTCCCCCATGGCCTAGAGGAACAAGTGCGTCTCACCCTGGGGAAGGAGTCATCTAGGGATGGGTAGTTAAGACACATCTGAAAGGTGGCGTAACCTAAAGCTGCAAGTAACAGAAAGTCTGACTCATAGTGGCTTAAAGAAACAGGGGTTTATCGTCTCACATTAACGAGAAGTCTGAAGGGAAGTAGCCCGACGTCGGTTCAGTGACTAAGAAATCGTGATTTCTTAGCCTCTTGCTCACAGTTACACAATAGCTCTTGTGGGTCCAGGAATAATGAGCACAGCAAGAGGAGGAGGGATCAACACGCCAGCCCAGGCTGCGCGTTGTAGCTAAGAAATCTTTACCTATAGCCCAAGATTGCAAAAACTTCCTCTGTGTTTCCATCTTGAGGTTTCATAAATTGTAGCTTTTACACTTAGGATCACTTTTAATATTCTATATGGTACATGGAATGGATTGTGTTTCTTTTCTTTTCTTTTACATATGGATATTTGATTATACCATCAGCATTTGTTGAAAAGACTATCTTTTCTACCCTGAGTTGCCTTTTCCCCTGTGTTGAAAATCAATTGACAATATAGGTATGGACCTATTTCTGGATTCTCTATTCTTTTCCATTGACCTTTATGTCTGTTTTTATGCCAATACCACACTGTTCAGATTATTAGAGCTCTGTAATAAATCTTTAAGTCTGCTAGCATAAGTTCTCCAAATCTGTTCTTTTTTTAAAGTTGTTTTGGCTATTCTATATAAATTGCATTTCTCTATAAATTCCAAATAAGAGTCAACTTATTCATTCCTATGGAAATCCTGCTGGTATTCTTATTGAGTTTCTGAATCTATAGATCAATTTGGGAAGAACTGACATTTCAACAATATTGAGTTTTCCAGTCTACAAACATGGTATTTCTTTCTATTTGTTTTGGTCACTTAAAATTTCTCTGAACAGTCTTCAACGTACAAGTCTTTCCCATCTTTTGTCAGACTTACCCCATGATAGGCAGAATAATGCCAGTGCCCCAAGATGCCTACATCATAATCTTCAGAACCTGTGAATATGTTACATTACACGATAAAGGATTTTGCAGATGTGATTAAGTTAAGAATCTTGCAGCGAGGAGGTTATCCTGAATTACCTGTGTGGGCCCAATATCACATATAAGAGGGAGGCAGGAGAGTCAGGGTCAGAAAGATGAAGATGTGACATTGGGAGCAAAGATAGAGATGTAGGGCCGTGGGCCACCAGGAATGAAGGCAGCCTCTAAAAACTGGAAAGGCAAGGAGCATTCTTTCCTAGAGCATCCAGAAGGACCAGCCCTGATGACACCTTGATTTTAGCCTACTGAGACTAATTTGGGACTTCTGACCTGTAGAACTATACGATAATAAATTTGTGTTACTTTAAGCCACTAAGTTTGTAGTAATTTGTTACAGCAGCAATAGGAAACAAATACGGATTTTGGTGACAGAAGTGGAGTACTGCTGTCAACAATACTTAAAATTTTTGGAAGTGGCTTTGGAATTGGGCAGTGGAAAAGCAGTGGAAGACTTTTGAGGAGCATTATAGAAAAAGCCTAGAAACATGGATGTTAAAGACCCTACTGGTAAGGACTCAGAAGGAACTGAGGGGTATGATAGAGAAAACCTATGTCGTCTTAGAGAACCCCTAAACATCACAAACAGACTGTTATCTGAAACACGTATGTTAAAAGCACAGCTGATGGGGGTTCAGAAGAAAATGAGGGATATGTTAATGGAAGCTAGAGAAAGGGGATCATTTCTGCCTATACAGTGGCAGAAAGCTTAGCTAACTTGTGTCCTGTGGTTATGCAGGAAGCAAAGCTTACACACAAGAAATCTGGCTATTCATTTGAGTAGATTTCTAAGCAAAGTATTTGAAAGGGCTGCCTTGTTTCTCCTCACTGCTGATATTAAAATGCAAGAGGAAAGAGTGATTGAGGGAAGAAATGTTAAGCAAAAGGGAGCCAAAACTTGAAGGCTGGAAAATTATCAGTCTATTCAGATTGCAAAAGACACTAAAATCGGCAGGACTTCCCTGGTGGTCCAGTGGTTAAGAATCGGTCTTGCAATGCTGGGGACACCGGTTCAATCCCCGGTCAGGGAACTAAGATCCCACATGCCGCAGGGCAACTAAGCCCATGCACCACAACTAGAGAGCCCGCGTGCCACAACTACAGAGCCCGCGCTCTGTACCACAACTACTGAGCCTGCGCACCACAACTAGAGAGCCCGTGTGCCACAACTACAGAGCCCACGTGCCACAACTACAGAGCCTATGTGCTCTGGAGCCCTCGCACCACAACTACTGAGCCCGCACGCCACAACTACTGAGCCTGCGCACCACAGCTAGAGAGAAGCCTGTGCAAAATAAAATAAATAAATACAAGTTTAAAAAAAAAAGACACTAAAATTGGGAAATTTGCTGTCAGGAAAAAACATGCTCCAGAGAGAAAGGAGGGTATAACTGGACAACCTTTTGCTTGGGCCTTGAAAGGAGCAAAAATTCACAGTATTCTGTCACACAGAGAGTTCTTTAAAGAAACTCTGTTTGTGACTCATGTATTCCCACAGCCATCTCAGCAGATGCCAAAAATAGAGATGATATTATCTAGGAAAGACATGTGGAGGAGCCAGGTCTAGTGGAGTGAGTCCCTGTGATGTGCATAGGAGAAACACAAGGTTGTTAAGAATTTTATACCAACAGAAAGAGCCATCTTAGACTGAAAGGGACAGATAAAGGACAAAATGAAAGAAGGATGTCAGGCTCCCCAAATTCTGCAGGCAGGAAGCAGACTGATAAAACTCCCCAGCTTCCAACACATGCTACCCTTCATGACAAAGGATAACTCTGAAGACAGAGCCTTGAGCCCAGACGTTGGAGCCGCAAGACCAAAGGGCAGAGCCGAGAGCTACAGAAAATTATTCATAGGTCTTGAAACCTGATGGAGTTTGCCCGGTTTGTTTTTGAAATTGCTTGGAACTAGAGATTTCTTCTTTTCCTTTTATTTTCTCCCTTTTGAACAGAAATGTCTTTAATTGGTATCCTATGCTTTTCTCCCTCCTCCCCATTGTATTTAGGGAGCAGATACCATGTTTTCTTGTTTCACAGGTCCACAGATGGAGAGAGATATTTTTCCTCCAGGATGGATCACACCCAGAGTCTCACCCACACTTAATTTAGATGACTTAGATCATGAGATTTGGAACTTCTGAACTGATGAGAGTTACATGAGATTTGGTGCTATATAGTGTTTGGAACTTTGGTGACGTTGAGATGGGGTAAACACATTTTGCATGTGAGATGAATGTGAATCTTTGGGGGTCAAAGAGCAGATGTGGTAGGCAAAATGCTGGCCCCCAAAGATGTCCATGTCCCAATCTCTGAAACCTGCAAATATGTCACCTTACATGGTAAATGGAACTTTGCAGATGTGATTAAGTAAAGGCTCTTGTGATAGGGAGATCATTCTGGGTTATCCACATGGGCTCAATGTAACCACAAGGATCCTTATAAAAGGGAATCAGGTAGGTCAGAGTCAGAGATGGAGATGTGATGAAGGAGTCAGAGATCAATGTCATGGGAGGCCATGAGCCAAGGAATTGGGCAGCCTCTAAAAGCTGTAGAGGCAAGGAAATGGATTCTTCTCTGGAGCCTCCTGAAATAATGCAGCCCTGCTGATACCTTGATTTTATCCCACTGAGACAAATTTTGAACTTCTAGCTTCTGTAACTGGAAAATGAAAAATGTGTCTTGTTTGTTTTAAGGCACTAAGTTTGTGGTAATTTATTACAATAGCAATAGGAAACTAATACAATCCCTAAACATTTAATATTTTTATCCTATTGTAAATGGAAATTTTTATAGTTCAATTTCCATTTGTTCATTTCTAGTATGTAGGAAAAATGATTTTTATATATTGTTCTTGCATCCTGTAACCTAACTAAACTCAACTATTAGTTCTAGTAACTCTTTTTTAGACTCCATAAGACTTTCTACAGACACAAGGATGTTGTTTAAGAATAAACACAGTTTAACTTTTTCCTTTCCAATCAGGATGCCATTTATTCTTTTTCTTGCCTTATTGCACTGGCTAGAACTGACTACTTAACTGGCTACAATGTTGAATGGAAGTGGTGAGAGTGAATATCTTGACTTGTTCTTGAACTCAGGAAGGAAAATGTTCTGTCTTTACCACTGAGTATAATGCCAGCCATAGGTTTTCCATAGATGACTTCATCAGGTGAGGAAATTCTTGTCGTAGGTTTCTGAGAGTTTTAATCAAGAACAGATATAGGGGCATTTCCCTGGTGGCACAGTGGTTAAGAATCCACCTGCCAATGCAGGGGACATGGGTTCAAGCCCTGGTCCGGGAAGATCCACATGCCACGGAGCAACTAAGTCCATGCACCACAACTACTGAGCCTGCGCTCTAGAGCCCGTGAGCCACAACTACTGAGCCCACCTGCCACAACTACTAAAGCCCGCACACCTAGAGCCCGTACTCCGCAACAATAGAAGCCAGCGCAAGGAAGAGTAGCCCCTGCTCTCTGCAACAAGAGAAGCCACCGCAATGAAGAGTAGCCCCTGCTCACCGCAACTAGAGAAAGCCTGCACACAGCAACAAACACCCAACGCAGCCATAAATTAATTAATTTTTTTAAAAAAGAACAGATGCAGGACCTTGAATTCTGCTTTTTCTTAATCCATTGATATGATCATGTCTTATTTAACCTATTGGTAGAATGAATTACAATTGTAGATTTTCAACTTTTGAAAACCTGCATTCCTGGGATAAACCACTTTAGGTCATGATGTGTTATTTTTTAATATATTGTTGAAATCAGTTTGATAGAATATTGTTAATTTTTGCATGTATGAGGAATATTGGTCTACAGTTTTTTTCCCCCTCATTTTTGCTCAAGTTCTGCATTGAGATTCCACATCTTGAGATTCCACAGATGATGGTAGGCAGCCTCCTAAGGCATGACAGATTGAGCTTTTATAAGAGGTTCATAGGTTCTTCACTCTGAAAAACTTGAAGCTGGAAGAATTGTCACAAGGACTCGTCTTTTGATCCTTTTACGGCCAAACGCATAACAGTCTGAAAGGATGAAAATGTTCACTCATATCTTCCCCCATCCTTCACTCCCTGGCTTTACCTAGAGAGGAAGAGAAAACACATGCCTGAATAAGTACAGTTATAGTTACTATTTCCTAAAAAAAGTTTACTCTCACTTTAGGGCTGTCTCAAAACTTTGCAAAAGAAAGATAATCTCCTTGGCACATAGTAGGAACTCAATAAATATTTGTTAAGTAAATTAGAGAATAGATACATGAGTAAGTGAACAAAAGAATCACCTTCAAGATGTCCCACTTGGGAAGAGCTGGTGTCAGTTCATAAACTTTCCAAGGGAGCCATGAGTAGGCTCAGGGAATCTGCAACACCCACACCCCACGCCTGATAACAAAAAACAGCGTGCAAGTGGGGCTATAGGCATACGTGCAGCTTTTTAATTCTCATTGCGGTCTATGACCCAGAAAAGATTAAGAATCATTTCCTTGAGGCCTTTAAATATGCGGATGAATGAAACATAAACAATATTAATTTGCTTCCCATGGCCAAGTTTCTGGCTTCTAAGGATGGTCGGACTCTCAGGACAGCCTTGGTGTCTGTACAGGAGATCTCCCAATCTCTGAGCCCCGCAGCAGAGCTTCATTTATCGCCTCTCCAAGTACACAGTTAACTTCCCAGGCAGCAGACCCTAATGAAGCAAAACAATTAGGGATCCATTAGAGCCTTGCAGAGGGCCATTAATCCTCCCCACAGCAGGCCAGTGAGAGCACGGGAGGTTTTCCCAAGGAAGGGACTGAGCCTGGAGACAGTCATTTGTTCCCTTCAGAGCAATCCAGCCCCCAGTGGGGTGGGGACAAGGGAGGCTGCATGTGTCCCTGTAGGATGTCACAGCAGAAGAAGGGGCACGAGGAAGGAAAAGAGGCACACTGCTAGGCCTCCTGTCGGCTCTGTTCACCACCTGAGGGGACCCGAGTTTGTTTCTGGAGGTCCATGGAATTTTCTTAGCTTCCATTAAATCCCTGAATTGTTGAGACTGCAAGAAATACACTGGGCTCTGAAAGGAATTAAAAATGTGGACACGTGAATGCAACCTGAAGAACCAAATTGTGTTCTTTTGCAATTAAAAATAAAAGATATGGACCATGGAGATGGGTAAATGGCTTACTGGGATGTGTTCAGATGCCCTGGAAGTCCATTAGCATGAAAAGGCTCCCTCCTTGACCTCCTTACCTTTAACAGCCCTCTCAGAATCTCTGCTAAGATATCAGGACACACCCCCCGAGATAATTCCCTGGAAATAGTCTGTGTATCAGACAGCTGCCCACACTCCCTGGACTGGCTTCTCTAGAGACAGAGGCTGATCAGAAGGAGGGGTACATTCAGTGACCCCTGCTGAAAATTAATCCGTGAGCAACTCCCCTCTGCTGGGGTGGTGGGTAGAATTGGGGTAAACTTCTGGAAAGCACAAAGGAAATACACATCAAAAGGGACGTGCATACTGTTTGTACTAGTTATTTATTGCCACATAATAAATCATCTCCAACCTTAGTGGCTTAAAACAGCAAACATTAACTCACAGCTCCGGTGGGTCAAGAGTCCAGTCATGGGGCTTCCCTGGTGGCGCAGTGGTTGAGAGTCCGCCTGCCGATGCAGGGGACACGGGTTCGTGCCCCAGTCCAGGAAGATCCCACATGCCGCAGAGTGGCTGGGCCCATGAGCCATGGCCGCTGAGCCTGCGCGTCTGGAGCCTGTGCTCCGCAATGGGAGAGGCCACAACAGTGAGAGGCCCGCGAAACGCAAAAAAAAAAAAAAAAAAAGTCCAGTCATGGCTTGGATGGGTGCTTCTGTCTCAAGGTCCCTCGCAGGATGCAATCGAGGTGTCAGCCAAGGCCCGAGTCTCATCTGAAGGCTCAAGTGTGGGAGAATCCTCTTCTAAGCTCACTTACATTGTTGGTGGAAGGATTCATTTCCTCACCAGCCATTGGGTCAAAGGTCTCAGCTCCTCACTTGCCATTGGCTAGAAGCCTCCGTCAGGTCCTCACCGTGTGGGCCTCACCATGGTGCAGCTCACAACATGGCAGGCTGCTTTGCTCAAAGCAAACAAGTAAGAAGCCTGAGCAAGATGGAAGTCAGTATTTTGGTACCCTAATCTTGAAAGTCACATCCTATCACTTTCACTGTATTCTGTTCATTAGAAGCAAGTCACTAGGTTTCAGCCCCCTCTCAAGGGGAGGAGGTTACACAGCACAGGGATATCCAGAGGTGGGAATTACTGAGGGCCAATTTACAGACTGCCTACACACCCTTGAGCCCTATAACTCCACTTATTGGAAGTTACCCTAAAAGAAATAATCAGACAAGTACAAAGATGTACAGTCAACACTGCAGTTTACAATAGTGCACAACCAGAATCCGTCTGGGCTGGCTGAACCTGTTACAACATGTTCAAATGACAGAATACTGTGCATCACTAAAACACAACATAGAAGAACACTTATGTACATGAAAAAACATTTGAGATATAGTATAAAGTTTAAAACAGCAGAACACGGGACTTCCCTGGTGGTCCAGCGGCTAAGACTCCACACTCCCAATGCAGGGGGCCTGGGTCCAGTCCCTGGTCAGGGAACTAGATCCTGCATGCTGCAACTAAGAGCCCGCATGCCGCAACTAAAAGATCCTGAACGTGGAGACGAAGATCCCGCGTGCCACAACTAAGACCCCGTGTAGCCAAATAAATAAATAAATGAATAAATATTTTTTAAAAAGCAGAACACAAAATCATATGCAATATGATTCCCATATTCAAATATATAGAGGGAAAATAATAAAAGAAACCTCTACTTTTTAACACTTTGAAGTATCTCTGGGTAACAGGACTATGCATGATTTTCATCTCTTTTATACTTCCTTGTGCTTTTATAATTTTCTACAATAAATAGGTATTACTTTTATCATAAGAAAAGAGAATGCTTTTTTAAGATTTGAATTCACTGGGTGGTAACAATGTCACACTTTCCACATTTGTTCTCCTCTGCAAACCTGAATGACAGAGGAAGAAAAGAAAGATGTAGCAGATGCAGCCCCAGTACTTGAACTGGGCCCTGAGGCTGAGGGAGAGGAGACCAGGCCTCGGGCCACTGACAGCTATGCCATGCCATTGCGCACATCTGAAAAACCACCCTTCTGGGAGCTTGGTGAGCCTGGGGGTAATTTAGAAGAAGATGCCCCCCTCTCTGAACAGACACAGCCCCGGCCCAGGGTACACGGCGTGGCCAGCGGAGCGTGGGCCGGACTTCAGCCCCACTCGCCTCCCCAGCCAGGCACCCTTGTTCTTGTCCTGTGGCCTTGCCTACCTGAAGGTGAGAGGCAAGTGGGCAAAACCCCAGCTTCTGGGTGTCGCGAGCCGGCTCACTTCTCACAGTTTGCCTCGTCCCACTCCTGCCCTGTGGGCGGCTGCTCATAGGCCAGATGCCACCACTTCCTAGACCTGGCCACACCGGTTAAGTGGCTGCCCCGAGGCCAAAGCGCCAGGAAGGAGAGCAGGGAGCTCTCAAAGACTCGTCCCTCACCTCCAGCTCCATCGCTCTCTCCATTCCGAGCTGCGCTCATCTCCTAGACAATCCTGACGCCCCAAGCCCTGCTATCTCGGGCCTCACGGGCTCAGCTGCACCTTTCTCTGCAGGGCTTCCCCGACTCCGCCCCCAGCCTGAGCTTCCTCTCCTGCTTCCCACCTCCTCCATCCAGACGACAAATCACAAACGAGCCATCAGAGAGGGGGCCTCGCCAGCCCTGAGTATTTGCTCTGTGCCACTGCAGCTGGGGCTTCACACGTGCTACGTCATCCTCAACAGGCGTTGTCACCCTGACTTGCCATGAGAAACCTGAGCCTCGGGGAAGGCAATGAACTGTCGCAGGCCACACAGCCAGGAAGGGAGGGACGGGGCTGCGACTCAGAGCTCATCTTACTAGTCCACGCACGATGCCTCTTGAAGTTTGTTCCACAGGGAGAAGAGGGAGGAGAGAAACACGGCTATGTGTTAGAAACCCGAGCACTTTATCTGTTAAAGACATGTAATAATTCAAAAGCAAGCCTGAGGGCAGAAAATCCCCACCGATCGTGTTTCCAGGGACTGGGAGAATCAAAAGGCTAACCTGACCAGCAGGGCACAGACCCCCGTGTGATCTCCAGGCCCGCTGACCTGGATTCTTAGGGACCAGAAACAGGAAAGATCACCTCCACAAAGCCGGTGGCTCTCGGGACCCAGAGCATCCTGGGAATGACCAGGACACTCACTGGGCTTCTCCAGCCTAGACCTGGTCATGGGAAAAGCTTCCAAACCTCCTGGGGCACAGCCCCGGGTGGCTGATGGGCCCACGGCCCGGCTGAAGCAGAGACCCCATCCCACCGGCAGGCAGCCCGCAGGTGGGTGGGTGCTGCAGGGGTCCTGCTCAGAACAGAGAGCCCCCCATTTCAGGACAACGAAAAGAGCCTGATGGTCCAGCATGGAGGGAGGAGGGTCAGCCGCCACTTTGCACCAGCCTTAGAAATTATTACCTCCCAAATGGGGCCTCCATCCTGGCTTCCCAGCATGCACTGGGCTCAGGAGAAGCATCCCAGCTTATCGGGAGGATGAAGGAGGTGGAAGGGAAGGAGAAAGAAGCAGATTTTCCAGTACGTGCCATGTGAAGTGTTTGGTTTACATTATCCCATTTACCTTCCCACAACTCTGGGAAGTGGGCATTCATGTTCTTCCTATTTTCTAGAAGAGGAGGATGTGAGTCTGAGACAGGAAGAAGCTTGCTGGCGGTCACACGGCCAGAGAGCACTGGGTTTAGGCACAGGCCTCTGAGGGGAGCCCTGAGCCAGCACACCTTGGCTCAGACCATAAGGTGGTGATCAGCAAGGGAAAGGTCCTGTCATCACTGGCTTCGCTGCAGCGAAGCAGGGGACATGCCAAGCTGCCTGGATCCCCCCTCATTCCGTCTCCACTTCACCCGAGTGGGAGCTGAATCCCAGAGCATCCGATTTCACACAGCCAGTTAGGACGTGGCCGTCTCTGTCCTCTAGGTAGGTGACCGAGGCAGGGCGCTGGGATGGTCTGACTCCCCGGCCCCAGTCCCTGCTCAACCAGTGAATGGCAGTGGACTCAGGGCAGCCTCTCCCTCTCTCCGCTTCCATTTCCCCACCTGGAAAACTGTGCAGGTTAAAGGAGACGTTGCTGCAGCCTGTAGCCTCGGCCTGCCATGATTCTCCTTCAGTCTAAAAGGTTGTTGGCTCTGAACCCGATTAGGATAAGTCCATTTCAGACAATGTGCGTCCCCCGTGGGCTCTGCTCTCCCCCATCCGCCTCCCATTTGCCTGTCGTCACCCGAAGTAACCACTTACTGAATTACCAAGGAGAAGGCCAGCAGGTCGAGAGAGGGGAAACGGCAAAAACCAATCTTAACAAAAAGTATTTGAACTCCCAATAAAATTTCATCCCTTCCCATTGGCAGATTTTATCATTTTTTATTTAAGCCCCGTGCAGCCAAGCATGTGGACAGGAGCTCGCTTCTGCCCCAGATAGAGAATAACAGGGGCCCTGACCTGGGGAGCCCCCGGGAGGGTGGAGCGCCCTCCACAGGCTGTGATGGAGGGCACACTACAGAGCTGGTTCCTGCCAGCCCTCCAGGATGCCTGAACGCCCATCACGGGAGGGAGTCTTTTTGGAAATTACATTTAATAATAGCAACAACACCAGCAGCTCTCATTTCTTGAGCGCTCGTCATGTGCCAGGGGCAGAGCTCGGCCCTTACACACCTTGTCTCACTTAATACCCTGCGAGGTGGACACTGATTATCTCCATTGTATAGATGAACAAACCAAGGCCCAGCAAGGATAAGTAACTTGCCAAGACCTCATAGGCAGTCGAGAGCAGAGAAGGCTTTAAACCTGGTGTGTCTGACTCTGGTGCATGTGCTCCTAACCCGTTGTCACTGGCCTTTCAGGAGAGGCGTGTGGTTAAGAGTCTCTGGGCTCAGGGGTCCTGTGAAAAATGAACCTGTGTATTCATTCAACCATCAGGAAGCTTTGATCATGGACTGGGTAGTAGGTGATACCAAGGAAAAGTTTAGGATGATGGTGACACAGTTATGTAAGGAGAGATCCAGGGTTTTAGAAATGTCCACTGGATTACGTAGTGATGTTGAGACACGGTGTCTGGCATTTGCTATGAAATCCTTCAGGAAACAAGGAAAACAAACTGGGCAAAAATCTTACTAATTGTTGAATCTGAGTAATGGCTATATGGGGCTCATTGTATTACTATTTCTACTTCCAAGTATGTTTGAAAACATTCATAAGTATGTATTTTAAAATACATACAGGAGTTCCCTGGTAGTCTAGTGGTTAGAATCTAGTGCTTTCACTGCCGTAGCCCAGGTTCAATCCCTGGTCAGGGAACTGAGATCCCACAAGCCGCACAGCGTGGCCACACACACAAAAAATACACACAGAACATCATTCGTCATTAGGGATGTGCAAATCAAAACTACAGTGAGAAACCAGCTCACATTCATCAAGATGGCTACTATCCCCCAAAAACAAAGAAACAAACAAAAAGCAGAAACTAACAAGTGTTAAAGAGGACGTGGAAAAATCCATACCCTTGAACATTGTTGGTGGGAATGTAAAATGTTACAGCTGCTGTGAAAAACAGTACAGCAGTTCCTCAAAAAATTAAAAACATAATTACCACATGATCCAGCAAGCCCACATCTGGATATAGATCCAAAAGATTTGAAAGCAAGTTCTCAAAGAGACACTTGTACACCCATGTTCATAGCAGCATGATTCACTGTAGCTAAATGTGGAAGCAACACATATGTCCATCTATGAATGAATCAATAAACAAAATGTGATATATCCATACAGTGGAACATCATTCAGCCTTTAAACAGAAGGAAATTCTGACACAGGCTACAAGGTGGAAGAAGCTTGAGGACAGCATATGCTAAATGAAATGAGGCAGTCAAGAAATGAAAACTATTGCTTGATTCCACTGATACGACGTACCTAGAGGAGTCAGATTCACAGAGCTCCAGTTTGGGAGGAAGAAAAAGTTCTGGAGTTGAATAATGGTGATGGTTGCCCAGCAATGTGAATGTACTTGATAATACTGAATGGTACACTTAAAAATGGTCCAGATGGTAACTTTTATGTTTTTGTGTAATTTACCATAATTTTAAAAAAGTTTTTAAAACATGCACATACACAAAATGAACCATTTTGCTGTGTGCCCATGTGAACGTTCTCCAGGAGCTGTTTGAAGTAGAAAAACAAGCAAATACAGTACTATGTAGTTGAGTAGATGCACAGGAAAAAATTCTGTAAAGACACGGAATTGTCTTTCTGTGGTTTTCTCTGGGGAGTGAGACGGAGGTGGCTGGGAAGTAGGAAACCTGGACTTTCTATTTTGTAAGTTTTTATGCTATTTGAACTGTTGAAACAAAAACTGTTCTATGCATTATTTTGGAAATAAGTTTGATTTTTTTTTTTAGTGCAACTATGGTCCCTGGGACAGGAAGTTATCACCAGCCCCAACACATTAGCAATGACTGTAGGATAGATTTGGCCCTGACCTCTGGCCCTGGAGGAAAGACGGGGATGGCTCTCTCTGTGTTTCTGCGTGAAGGAGAGGGAGGGGGGTTATGAGGGGACTGGGTCTGAGCAGGGAGCCACATGAGGCCTCGTTGGATACTGCGACTGTTTGTGCAAGGAAAGGGCTCTGAATCATGAAACAGGAGCGTGAACAGAGGGGCAGAGGAGCCCCTGGGGCAGCCCCACCTGAGCTTTGGGACAGGTGGGGTGAGACGCAGCCCTGAACCCAGCCCAAGGCCTGTGTGTCAGTCCAAGCCCTGCAGTCTCCAACCCCCGGACCCAGGAAGCCCTCAGGCATTTCATTTATAAAATATAAAGGGTCAGGCTTCCCTGGTGGCGCAGTGGTTGAGAGTCCGCCTGCCAACGGGGGTGGGGGGACACGGGTTCGTGCCCTTGTCCGGGAAGATCCCACATGCCGCGGAGCGGCTGGGCCCGTGAGCCATGGCCGCTGAGCCTGCGCTTCCGGCGCCTGTGCTCCGCAGCAGGAGAGCCCACAACAGTGAGAGGCCCGTGTACCGCAAAAAAAAAATATATATATATATAAAGGGTCATATCTGCTCTCAGACCACCAGGATAATTTTTTAAAAGAGAATGGATAACAACAATTAATATTTATCATGCTCAGAATATGCACCAAGCCCTATACTAAGAGCTTTATTTGTATCAGTTCATTTAATCCTTATTAAACAGCACTATGAGGAGAGAGTACCATCAAAATCCCTATTTCACAGATGAGAAAACTGAGGCACAGAGAGACTGAATGACTTGCCCAAAGTCATTACACAGCTAGTAAGTAGCAAAGGTGACTATGTGTCTGGAATCTGGCCTAACAACCATGTTCCAATGGTGCCTCTCAGTGGAGACTCTATGACTCAGGCCTCCACTGGAAGGAAGTGACAGAAACCCAAACAAGCAAGCTCAAACATTAAAAAAAAATATATAAAAAATATCTTGGATAAAGAAAAGGAAAACTCTAAGGTCCTGCTTCAGGCACAGCTGGATCCAGGTGCTCAAGTGATGTGTGGAATTCACCTCCCTCCATCTCCCACTCTGCTTTCACCCAGGCAGGCTCTATTCTCAAGCAGACTCCCACATGGGTGGCAAAGAAGTTCCCAGAACTTTAGGCTTTGGTTCCACCAGTCTGGCAACCCCCACAGAACAAGGGATTCCTTCCAATTAAACTCCCAGGTTTGGGTCTCAGTGGATGGGCTCGAGCCACATCCTCATTCCTGAACCAAGCCCTGTGATTTGAGGAAGGCCTGGGTCTGAGTAGAAGAGGGGGGTTCCCCAAAGGAAAATTCAGGCCATTCCTGAAGAATGAATGATGGCCGCTGGGCAGGTAGAAATGTCAGCAGTCCCTTCGACGTGGAAGTGCTTAGAATTCTGCCAGGCAGGGTCAGACATGGGAATTATTACTATAGGAGACCACTGTGTGCATGGCATCTGCCACAAGCCCAGGCTGAGACCCCCAAGTCCACAGAGGGGTTGGCAGGACATTACTGTTGGTCTGGCATCACCACACACACTGGCTGGTCTCAGAAGGATGCAGAGAGCAGCACGGGTCTGCAGCCCTGGAGTCTGCATTCCCTCCCTGGTTCTGCAATCCCTGGCTGTGTGGCCTTGGGAAAGTGGCCTAAACTGTGCATCTGAAAAATGGGAACTACAAAACCTCATGTATAGGATCGCAGTAAGGATTGCAAGAGAAAAGGATCTGGGTGCCTGGAACCACCCCAGCAAACCTCAGGGGCTCAATCAATGATTTTTTTTTAATGTAGGAAATCATTTAATATAAATCTCAGTAATTACTGTAACACATTGAATTTTTAAGTAAAATTTTATTCTGGAATACATTGAGATTTGCTGAAAGACTGTTTGTCAATACCAAAAAACAACACTGGTACATTATTATGAGCTAAACTACAGACTCTACTCATATTTCACCATTTCTTTGTTTTAGTTTAATTTTTTATTTTATATTAGGGTATAGGTGATTTACAATTTTGTGTTAGTTTCAGGTGTATAGCAAACTGACTCAGTTATGCATATACATATCCATTTTTTTTCAGATTCTTTTCCCATACAGGTTATTACAGAATATTGAGTAGCATTCCCTGTGCTATACAGTAGGTCCTTGTTGATCATCTCTTTTGTATATAGTAGTGTGTATATGTTAATCCCAAACTCCTAATTTATCCCTCCCCCCACATCCTTCCCCTCTGGTAATCATAAGTTTGTTTTCGAAGTCTGTGAGTCCGTTTCTGTTTTGTAAATAAATTCATTTGTTTCATTTTTTTTAGATTCTGCATATAAGTGATATCTTATCAATCAATGACTTTTAAGAGTTCGCCTGCCAGCTGCTGCCCCCGCCCCTGGAAGGCCCTTTGGGCATCTGAACTGAGGACCAGAGGACTTCAGGAAAGCAATTCCTCTTTGCTTTAGCTGTTGGCAGACTTTAACGAAAGCAAATTAAATAAAAGCCAATACTGGGACTTTTCTTAAATCTTTTCCAAGGCACTTGACCCAGCAGTGGTGCAAATGTAAAGAGCCAGTCCTGCCAAGGCAATGGATGGGTGGCAAAGATTAGCTCGATGGTCCCAGAGGCCCAGGGCCTAGGACGCACCTCTGCTCCGGGGTTCCCCTGAGGCTGTTCTGAGAGGGGGTGAGGGAGACTCAGCTGTGACTGTAGAAGTACTGTGTCACCTGTAATGCCTCCAAAGAGGTGGGGTTCCCAAAGAGGGTGCCACAGGACCCGCAGTCTTTGGGGAGCTAACAGGCATGCGGTGCCTTCTGGGTGACTTGAAAATGTTAAGAAAGCCTCCCTTTGTGCAAAATGTGAAATAATGTAAATGTCCCCTTTCAAAGGTTTAAAATGTGTCATGAATTCCATAACTGCGAATCTGCTGGCTAAATGAGTCATAAACTGGGCTCTCTGTACTGCCCGTGTCCGCGCCACCAGAGCTGCAGCATAATCACGCCCTGCACTCGATCCACGCTGCGGGAAATCGGTCCTGAATGATTCATGTTGTGGGTGTCACAGTAGCTGAAAGAGTGGATGCTCTTGCTGAAACATAATCACCCTGACTTGGGAACAAGCAGTTGTGCTCAAACCTGCTCTCGGCATGTGCCAGGCACCCCATAAATCACTGTGGGGAGGGGCAGAGGGAGAGGATGGTTGAAATCAGGGATCCCAGGCCACATCCAGCCCAATTCCTATCTGGAAATAAAGCTTTATTGGGTCATTGATTTAGCTACTGGCTACGGCTTCTTCCACACGACAGCAGCTGAGTGGAGTCGCTGAGACAGAAAGGAACAGCCTGCAAAGCCTCAAATATTTACTAACTGGTCCTTTCCAGAAAAAATGGCTGACTCCTGGTTTAAATAAAGTCAAGCACGCTTCTTTCTCGCAGGACTTCTCAGGGGGCTTTAAAGTGTTATTAGACAACGTGAACTGCCACACAAGGGATTTCCCAAACCCATTAGATGGAGAACCTTCTCTTCCCTGGGGCATCTCGCAAGCCTGGGGTCCACGAGCCACGCTGGCCACACAGGCCCCACTGTGGCCTGCGCATGGCATCCTGGGACTGAGGTTATAGGAGCAGTAGGATGTTGTGATGAGCCCCCTCAGCGTCTGAGTGACCAAGCGGAGAGTTCTGAGATTCCTGAACTTGCCTGTCAATCCATCCTGCCTCCCCCGATCATGAACTCTAAGACACCTCTGTCTGTGTCCTCTCAAATGGCAGCTCCACTCACTGTAGCCAGGAGGAAAGTGCAGCCCAAGGCAGGAGAGCGAAGGTCGCCCGCTTGGAATGCCCACAAGCAGGGTCCTATGGGAGGAAGTCTAGCTCTCGGGTCAGCCGTCCTGCCCAGGGGTGTTTGCAAAACGGGAACCAGTCACCGAGAGCCGCCTGCGAACATGAGTCACTGCTCCCTCAAATCAACAAACAAGGCCGCAGACCCAGACACCAGCTCTCTCCCTGGAGCATCGCCTGCCCCTCAAGGGCCTCAGCCCTGCCTCTCCCAGCCCTGGGGCACTGAGCTGGCAAAGACTGGCAAGTGGAGGCAGCTGCTCCTTCCTCCAGCCTCAGACCTCAGGCACATCCGGCCACGCACGCCACACCCTGTGCAACCACTGTCCACATCCCCGATGCAGGCCTGGGCAGCGTGGCAGAAGTGCCCACACGCATCGGGCACAGGATCAGGAAAACCCAACCTCTGCCCCGGAGGGCTCATCAGCCAAAGTGAAAGGAATCATGGAGGAACAGGCAAAGTGCTGTGAAAGGGGAAATCCAGGAAGGCTTCCTGGATGGTGTGGCTCCTAAGGTGTGCCTGCATACAAGGTATTGACCAGGGAGACTCCAAGGGCAGAAAGACATATCAGAGAGCGGGACAAACTGCCCAGGGCAGGGAGCAGCGAGCACAGAGCATTCTGAGGAGCGGTTTGTTCCACGTCTGCTTGAGGGCAGCCTTGTGCACGCTGAAAGACCCTGGGCTGGGCAGCCTGATTGGGGACGGGGGTGGCAAAGGCCCTGACGGCAGGAGGGGAACTGCTGGCAGCAGAGAGGGCTCTTAGGACCTCTGAGCTGGGCAGCAGCATGATCAGAACTGGCTGCTCATGTGAAACTTCGCTATTCAACCCACAGAGGGTGTAAGTAATCCTAACGACAGTAAGGGGTCCGCTGCCGTTTGTGCTCACACCGTGTGCCAGCGAACGAGAAGCACTGTGGTTGCTGCTTCCTTTCATCCTCATGATGCCTTCAGGAGGTGGGTGTGACCCTTATCCCTGCTTTCCTAAGGAAGAGGTTCAGGGAGGTTAACTTGCCCAAGGCCACCCAGCCAGGAAGTGGCAGGGACAGATTTTTTTTTGTTTTTTTTTTTTTTGCGCGGTACGCGGGCCTCTCACTGTTGTGGCCTCTCCCGTGGTGGAGCAACAGGCTCCGGACGCGCAGGCTCAGCGGCCATGGCTCACGGGCACAGCCGCTCCGCGGCATGTGGGATCTTCCCGGGCCGGGGCACGAACCCGCGTCCCCTGCATCGGCAGGCGGACTCTCAACCACTGCGCCACCAGGAAAGCCCAGGGACTGATGTTTGAATCCAGACTCTTGACTGCTCTTTCGTAGCCTCTTCCTGGGGGGGAGAAAGAAGACCCAACACGCTGGGCTGTGAGCTGTGCTCCAGCGCTGCTGCTGAATCATTTCCTCCAGTCAGCCCCACCGAACGCTGCACTCGAGCATCAGGAAGGAGGACCCCGCCAGCCCTGACTGTGGTGGTCTTCCCGGAGCTGCTCCTTGACAGGCTGGGGGCCTCCAGGAAGCCACTAATGTCAGCCGGTCTCAATCCCCATGGCCTGGCACAGAGCCCAGCACAGAGTAGGCACTCAGCAAATAATTGTTGAATGAACAAATGGTTGAACAGCTGTTTGTAAATAACTAAAACATTCGCCATGGCAACCAGCTTTCCTCTTTAATCCATGTGAAAAGAAAAAATGAAGCTCTCCAAATATTTGCGCGATAATAATCCATCTTGAAGTTGAAATATGTTCCTCCAAATTACCCCACCATGTCTGATTTCAAAGAACTTATATTCTTGTAGACTTCAAGATGGAGCATGTCAAATCCTGACAGTCAGGACAAGAGGAGATGTTCAAAAAGACAGCAGCCAGCCCCTGACAGCTCCCCGGGCCCCAGGAAAGACACGGGAGGGGAGAAGCTGAGTCTCTCCTCCGGGCTGGTGGGGCTTACACGGCGGCACTAGCTTCTTGGGTTTCCCCATGAGCTGAATATTCCTTCCACTAACCCAGGAATTTGATGCAATAAATCTCATGATTACTGATGGTTCCTCTACTCCAGGTGTGGGCTTATTGGCCAAGGATTAAACATCTCATTCAAGGTGATCTAACTACATTTCTGGAGAGAGAAAAACAGAGGCAGAAGAATGCAGGGCACACAGCCTGTCCCTGGAGGATAGGCTCATGGGGGATTTGGGTTTCAGAAAACAAAAGATCATGTGTTGCCAGAGACCTGCAGCTGCAGGACCCTCGATGGGACCGTTCAGTCCAGCTGTGTTAGCATGGGTGGGACAGGAAGGGGTTGGGAAACACAGATGAGCCAGGCGGGTGAGGCCCCTGCAGAGCAAGATGGCCTGGGTTCAGGTTCTAGTTCTGCCACTTGCTGGCTCTGTGACCTTGAGAAAGTCACTTAACCTCATGAGTAAAATGGGAATAACAATAAAACCCACCTTGCAATGTTGTTGTGAGGATTATAAGTAATTATACATAAATGGCCATTCTTGTGACTAGTTTATCATAAAGGCTACTGCCCCATCTCTCCTTCCAACATCTCTGCTGAAGTTTCCTCTTATTAAAGAAGAAAAAAATACATGTACATGTCCGATAATACCTGGGCCAGGGACTTTGTGTAGTGTCTCAGGCTGTCAAAGAGACTTAAGTGGAGCTGGCAGGAACTCTTCACGGAAGACACTCACCTCCACACTCCAGGGATGTGCTTTGCACTGGAGTTTATTCTAAGCCACGCAGATTCTACTCAGACCACCCATTTTGCCCCCCATTCTGTCAATAAATGTTGGGGGGTTCACACAACGGCCAGGCCCAGTGCTGGGACACAGGGACACTCTGACCTGCTCTCCACCCCCGGGGGCTCACAGCCACGTGGGTTCTGGACCTTGGGACCATCCTGGGGCTGGAACGATGTCCAGGGTCTCAGAGGGCTTTAAGCCCATTCCTACCAGTGGCAATGCTTCCTCCACAAAGAGATTGCCATCCAGTCCTAATAAAATCCCTCCAAGCCCAGAATTTTAATAAGCAGATAAACAGGTGGTATTGTGTTTCTTTTAAAATACATATAAATAATGTTCCCTGAGCAAAGATGCTATGCATCCCCCAATAATCCTGCATCATCCTTCCCCTCCCCCTGAGCCAGCTGGGGCTCTGGGTTCAGTGCTCTGGGGGTGTACCTGACGCCATGCCAAGAGCATCTCAAAATATTGACACATCTGCTCCCCATGACAACCTGGGAGAGCGGGGGCCGTGAGCACCCTCCTTTTGCGGATGTGGAAACTGAGACATGGAAAAGTGAAGAGACTTGCCCAAGGCCAAGCCAGGCCCTACCCTGACTTCTCTCTCCAAAGGGGCCAGGCTACTGACGCTGGCAAAGAAGAGGTCCACCATGCCATGGCCAGAAGGGCCAAGTCCACATCCATCTGCAGAGTCCCGCAGGAAAGGGCGTCTGGCTCTCACACCTCCCCTCTGTGATCCTGGGTCTACCCTGCTTGACAGTGCAGGGTCCTTGCCCCTCAAGAGCTGACCAGGAAAATAGGGCCCGGTGTTCTGGACAGTGAGAGGGTCCGGGGCTTGAAAGGGAACAAGGAACAAGGCCTCCTCCTCTCAGGATACAGGAGTTAGCAAACACCAATACAGGATACCTAGTGAAATTTGCATTTCAGATAACACATTTTTAACATAAGTAGTCACATGCAGTATTGGGAATATACTAAGAAAGTATCGTAGTTGATCTGAAATGCAAAGGTAACCGCGTGTCCTCCATTTTTTCTGGCAGCCCTACCCCTCATCTCCCACTACTCCCGATAGCGCTGGTGCAAGCTCAGGATGGGGTTTGGGGCCCAAAATCACACCTCTTCCTACTCTAGGTTATGGTGACCGAATACAATCACATAGGGTGATCGGCAGGGATGAAAGTCGTGGCTTTATGAATATTATCATCAGATTGGAGAACGTGCCCTGCATGTGGAGCAGAGTGACCCGGGTCGATGGCGGCTCCCATCCCCGGTGGTGTGACCCAGCCATATCCCTTAATGTCCGAGCCTTGGTTTCCTTTCCTGAAACTTGGGGCTAATAATGAACCTGCCCTACCTGCTCCCAGAACCGCTGCGTGATGGACCCTCCGTTACATGCACAAGTGCTCCAGGGAAGCTGGAGTCCTAGCGAGTCCTACTGGGTTATAATTTATTCGTGTCACTTTAATAACAATAAATGAACAGGTTGATTCATTTCCTGACTCCTAGGTGCTTCCCTAGCTTTCTCTACCAGCCTAGTTTTCTGCCTGTACACAGAGTTCATGGAAATACTATATTCTGGAGGTGGTTAAAAAGGAAGTGAAACCATAGCAAATTCGATTTATGTTTCTAATTCCATTTGAAACGACTTTGGCAATAAATAAACCACTCTCTCTGATTCTCTTAAATCAGCGTATTTCAGCAGCAAAGTGACATGTTGGAATCAGCAGTGTGCTCCATCTCACTCTGTTAGCCCACCTGTGTCCACAGTGAAGGGACACTGAGGTCTGGCCCAGTGCCAGGCTGCCGGCCTCTGCAAGCATCAAGACACTGCCAACCGCTTTGGTCCCTGGCTCTGAGGGGCAGTAACTCTCCCCAGCACAAGGCCTGGTAACCTGCTGGGGTCGGCCTCTCTCGGTTCCTCTATGGTTGCAGGGCGCCCAAGGAGGTTTCACTCTGTTGAGTCTGTGAATGGATGTAGGGTGTTCAAGAGGGATGGGGAGGTTTGGGTGGAGATGCCAGCCGAGGCAGGATTCCAGGACTGGTGTGTGAACCAAGGGCCCTGCCCTTTACCTTAAGCAATTACCCAGGGATTGTTGCTGGGTCAGGGATACTGTGAGTTCACGAGCACAGCTAAGCATGGGGCCCTGGAGTCATCCCGGATCGGCCCCCTACTAATCAGAGAGGCTGGCGGGTGCCTGAGCCCAGGATCCCCACTCACTTGCCTGGGTAATGGGGATGATTCTGTTGTCCACCGCTAAGCTGCCATGAAAAGGACCTCACAGCATCTGTCATCGCCGACTAAAGCACTTAGCACAGGGCCTGGCAGCTGGCAACTCAACACAACAGATAGAGAGGGCTTCTTACCAGTGGGCAGACACCCTGGGAGCTCAGAGAAGCTACGCACATGTGCACACACACCCTGACACCTAGAGACACACACACACACACACACGCTGACACTCAGAGGGTTTGAGGTAAGGCCCTGGCACGTGGATGTTTAACAAGCAGCCCAGGTGACTCCAATCACAAGGAAGCCTGAGGCACCACACTAAGGGAAACCGGGGCTCCCCAGCCCTTGGCAGTGTCAGAAACACCTGGAGAGCTTATTACACTGCACCTGGGGCCCCAGGTCTGCATCTCTAACAAGGCCCCAGGCGATACTGAGGCTGCTGGGCAGGGATCCTCCCTTTAGTGGGGGAATTACTGCAACTGTGCAGGGACATGCAGAGCTCTTTGAAGAGAGGCCAGAGGCTGTGATGATTTGGGGAGGGAGGCAGACATTGGCCACCAGGAGCTCCTCCACCTGCAGCCAGCATCCACCGGTCCCTCCGATCCAGCAAGTACAAAACGATCCAGAAGCAGGCGGGCATGCCTCACGCCTCCGTCCTCCTCAGCCCTGCACCTGACTGCTCCCCAAGTGGGTCTATTCCAGCCACTACTGCTGTGTGGCCTAAAGCAATCATTTTAGTGTATTCATGGATTGGATTCTACAGGCCGGGAGCTCAGGCAGGGCATCCGGACAGCTTGTCTCTGCTCCACAGTATCTGGAGCCGTAGCTGGGAAGACTCAGGACTGGAGTCTGGAATCACCCTGCGGCATCTTCGCTCGCATATCCGGCAGTTGGTGCTAATAGCAGCTGGGGCCTCAGCTGCGTCTGTTGGACAGAACCCAACATGTACACGTGGCCTCTTCACGTGGCCTGGGCTTCCTCCCAGCATGGCAGCCTCAGGGCAGTCAGATTTTTCTAGAGATGTCAGGGCTCCCCGGAGAACCTCGCTCTGTTACTTCCACCACATTCTGGCACCTAGAAGATCAGCCCAATTCAAGGGCAGGGATATCAATGCCAGCCCTCCATGGGAAGAGTGCCATAGAACTCACAGACACGTTTCAAAGCCACCCACCAAGTGTCTCCAGGGACTTCCCTGGCGGTCCAGTGGTTAGGACTCTGCACTTCCACTGCAGCGGGCACAGTTTGGATCCCTGGTCAGGGAACTAAGATCCTGCAAGCAAGCCGTGCAGCACAGCCAAAAATAATAAAATAAAATAGAATAAAATAAAATGTGTCTCCAGAAGGCACTCTCTCCTTCACCCCACAGCCTCCACCTTGGCCTGGGGTCTCCCTGTCTCCCATCAGGGCTTTTGAAACACCTTCGTTGTTGGTCTCCCCACCTCCAGCCTTGCCCTCCAGGCCAGCCATCACCAGCAGGGATGTCCATAACAAAAACAGATCCAGTTGCTTCCTACCCGGTCTCCTCTGGCAGAGCCAGTGGTCCGACTCGCAGCATTCCTTTCTCCCAGCCTCATGGCCTCCCAGTCTCTGCTCTAGTCACGTTGCATTCCAAACCTTCCACTCGCCTTCCTGCTCTGCCACCTTCACACAAGCTGGTTTCTCTACAGGGAAATGCCCCTTCTTCCCCTATGCAGATCCTAGCAAACTCCTATTCATCCTTCAAAATCCAGCTCCAACCTCACATCCTCTGTGATGCCGTCTCCAACCCATTTATGATTATAATTGGGTGCAGATCAAAGGTTCCCAGTCTTAGCTGCACACTGGAATCACCCAGGGAGCTTTGACATATATTGATAGCTGGCTGCCACCGCCAGACATGCTGATTTAGTGGACTGGGTGCAGCCTGAGCATGGGGACTTTTAAAACTCCCTAGAAGATTCTAGGGTGCAGCTAAGGTTAAGAACTGCTTGTATAGACCAATGGCTCACAATATGGCTGCATATGAAAATCATCAGGCAATTTTTAAAAGCATGCCTTTTCCCCAGGGCCCTACCTCAAAGCTATCAAATCAGA